GAAGTAGCCGTTTCCTACTCCAAAGAGGCGAAGGTGTTGTAGTGAGGCGGAGTGGTGTAGTGACAAGTGGCGCGCTTACCACTCGCGCGGTCCTGGGTTCGAATCCCAGGTCGACACCCGCCCAGGCCAACCAAGCCTTCTACCCTCCGGGGACGGTAAATTGGTACCAGATTCGTCTGGGAGGATAAACACTGACTTGTATCGGCTGGCCACCGCAAGTCATTGTATAGGCCACATCGCATTCAATAAGCCACTACGATTCTGAATGGAAGTAGAATGCGTGCCGCATCCCACAAAGGGATTGATTAACGGCGAAGACTTTATCCTTTATCCTTTCGCCGTTTCCTTGATAACCGCGTCAATGTATAGAGAGCAAATGTGCTTGACTGCGCCCGCTGCCTGTTGGCCGCTCTATACGGACAACACAGAGTTGCGAAATTTCATTCCACAGCTCGAATCACGAGTGGGAACGTCCCAGCATGGGGTCGCACCTACAGGGTAAGAAAGGTGATTTGTGATGGTACTGGAATGGATAAAAACTCTTAACGACGAAGGAGAAAGATGCCAGAAGCAGTGAAGGAAGGAACCCACTTCACCAACCCAATACAGACTGTCTTAAGCCACCATAAGAATGATGGACGGGTCATTTCAAAATCTGCTTCTGATGGGAACTAATACACATTACAAAACAAAAAAAAAGTACTAGCTCAAGACTTGAAAAAACGTTAAGAATTTACCTGTAATGTCACAGTGCGATCGTCAATTTGTACATCTCTAGTAAGGAAATCCGCACCTATTGTGGCCTGAAATGAACAACTGCCAACATAAGACGGATAAAATAGTAGGTATTCAAAGAAATAAAGGGGTCTTGTTTGTTCTTCGACAATACTTCCTTGTTCGCTGAGTACATGAAGGGATTAAACCGGCTTCCCACCACAAAACAACGTTTCACCATGAGAGCACGGTGTAACACTAAACTCGTGACAGAAAATGACCTTTAGGAGTTGGTGAGCGGAGCGACAGAGGAGGCGTCAGAACTGCCACCTACGAGAGCAGCAGCGCCTTAGTGACTTACGGTGAAGCCGGGAAAAAGGGGTAATCTCAGGGACTGTGGGCCAGACTATTTGAGTAAGGAAGGACGCCTATGAATTGATTTAGCGCGGGGACTGTTTTCAAAGAAGCCTCGGAAAAATCCCTCGATTCATTGATTCATAATGACAAACAGAATAGATAATATTGATTTAAGAAAAAAAATCATGTTAATGAAGAAATAAAAAAATAGAGAGCATTAGATGATAGGAATTCTCACCTTATATTGATTGCTGAATCTCCGATTCACATACTGATTCATCAACGATGTCTTGCCTACGCCGGAGTCACCGAGTATAATCACCTTCAGAAGTGCCTTCTTCCTACCTGACATTATGACGTATCTGAAACTGAAATATCTGCAGCAGCAAAGAGAAATGCACCGAAAAACGCGGAACTAGCGCTGAAACGACGATGTCACGGCAACCACTGAAAAAAAATGAAAAGTGAGCGAGAATGAATTAAGCAACATGAAGACAGTCACAATGTTTGATAAAAGTACAATCTTCATTAAAAAGACTGGAGAAACTCCGCAGCGGCAACTAATCAAAGACCGACAAATCA